AAGAACGACTGAAGACTGTTCTCAACAAGAATGGAGACGACCCAGAGATATTCCAGTTCCAGTCAGCAGAAGAAGCTGTTTTAACTAAAATAATTGATGGAAAATTCGAGACTGTTTCCAAAAGATTCGATGAAACGTCACAAATGATTGAAGAAACTTCGAAAAAAAAATGATAGTAAATTTGAGAACGTCTCGCAAATGATTGAGGAGACTTCTGAAAAAAATGATGAAAGATTCAATGAAACGTCTCAAATTATTAAAGAAGTAGCTAGACAAAATGACGAGAAACTCGAAAATGTGTCTAGAAAATTCGACGAGAAATTTGAAAATGTTTGTCAAATGATGGAAGAAACTTCTAAACAGAATAATGAGAAATTTGAAGAAGTCTCAAAAACATTCGATCAGATACAGAAAAATGTAAACAACGTAGAAGAGAAAATCAAACAGTTAGAGAGCATGATAACTAACACGAAAGTGCTACCACCAATTAATACGGTAGCTTTAGATCCGGTAGTAAAAGAAGAATCACCGAGAGACGAAACGACACATCATATGAGATTCAAATTGCCACCATTTGATGGAAAGTCCTCTTGGTCTATATACCTTAGACAATTTGAAGCTATTGCGACAGCCAATCATTGGACAGAACAAGAAAAAGCTGTTTCCTTGACTGCTGCTTTACGAGGTGATGCTGCAGATATCCTAAGATCGATTCCTAAGGGTCAAGAAAAATGTTACCAGACCTTGTTCACTCGAATAGACAAACGTTACGGAGATGCCCATCTACAACAAGTCTACAAAGTACAAATAAGAAGTAGAATTCAACGAGCAAGTGAGAGTTTGCAAGAATTTGAAGCAAATATTGCTCGTATAGCGCTGTTGGCCTATCCAGAGCCACCAGACAACATTTTGGAAGAAATTGCTGTAGATGCCTTCGTCAATGGGTTGAGAGACAGTGAACTACAGAAAGCTTTACGATTAGCAAGACCGAAAGTCTTAGATGAAGCGCTCGCCATTGCCTTGGAACATGAGATAGCTAGTCGAGTTTCACGGAGCTATCAAGTACGAACCTCTGAAGAGAGTGACGAACGAAACGATAAACGTCTGGAGGAAATCGTACGGAAAGTAGTTCGTAACATGATGCCGAAGAGACGTGAACCCAGATGTTGGAATGGTAACAACGAAGGTCACATTCGTCACAAAGTGCAAGAAAATAATACAACAGTCAGAAAGCTAGAACAGATCGAGCACGCTAGAAAAAGTCATTCAAATGCTGATGTTCAATCAAGACGGCCATACAGTGAAAATCGTAATCATTGTCTTAAATTAGAAGAACGACTTTGCCCCGTGAGGCGAACCACCGTTATTAATGATCAATGGCAGCCTCAATAGCTACAAGACGCTCAAGTAGATGATCCATGTATAAAAAGAGTATTGGATTGGGTGCGTCGAAGTGAAAGACCTTCTTGGCAAGACATTAGTGCATGTAGTCCCGAAGTCAAGTGTTACTGGAGCCAATGGAATTGCCTAGTGCTGAAATATGATCTTCTGTATAGGACCTTTGAGAACGATGATGGTACAGAAACTAAGCTTCAGTTGATTGTACCTAAAAGTAAAGTGTCAGAAGTATTGCGTCAGTTGCATGACGGTGCATCAGGTGGACACTTTGGTATTACGAAGACTCTGCAAAAGGTTCGAGAACGGTTCTATTGGGTGAACTGTAAAGATGATGTAAGAAGATGGTACCGGAAATGTGAACTGTGTGCAACTAGTAATGGTCCAGTTGGTAAAAAGTGGGCACCCATGAAACAGTACAATGTTGGTAGTCCTATGGAGAGAGTAGCAATCGACATTGCAGGTCCACTTCCAGAGACGAATGATGGAAATAAATATATCCTGGTAGCTATGGATTATTTTACGAAATGGACTGAGGCCTATGCGATAAAAAATCAAGAAGCTGCTACCGTGGCAGAGGTACTTGTTAAAGAATTCTTTAGCCGATTTGGTGTTCCCTTGGAGATCCACTCTGACCAAGGGCAAAACTTCGAGTCAAACCTTTTCCAAAACGTTTGTAAATTGATTGGTGTCAATAAGACCAGAACGACCCTGCATCCTCAATCAGATGGAATGGTCCAGAGGATGAACCGAACGATGGGTAAACACTTGTCCAAAGGTGTATCAAAACATCAAAGAGATTGGGATCAGCACATTCATTTATTCCTAATAACCTACCGCTCGGCCGTGAATGAAACTACGAGCCAGACTCCAACCTGCCTGATGTTAGGTCATGAAGTTCGTTTGCCCTGCGATCTAGAGTTTGGCTGCAGACCTTCTGAAGAACATGTTGCAAGCGAAGATTATGTCGACCGCTTAAAGTTAAGAATGAACAACATTCATGAACTTGCCCGACAACACATCCAGTTAGCCAGTGACAGAATGAAAGATCAATACGATTCTCGATGCAAGAATGAAAGCTATGAAGTAGGTGATCTTGTTTGGCTTTATAATCCACAACGTCGTCGTGGCTTGTCTCCTAAACTGCAAAGACAATGGGAGGGTTTGTATGAAATTAAAAAGAGAATAAATGACGTAATATACCGAATTAAGAAGTTGCCGAAAGGTAAACCTAAAGTAGTTCACATAAATCGTCTTGCACCTTATGCTGGCTCAAATGAAACCGAAGAAGTCCGAACCCTTCAAAATAAGATCAAAGATGATCGGCGACCAAGCTTTAAGGAGTTTATGTCAAATTACGCAGAGAGAAAGAGTGCTAGATTCGGCGTGACGACAGAAGTTCAGCAGGATCTTTTTAGTGTTCCGCATAACGTCTCTCTAGCCCACTGTGTTGCCCAAGATCTTGAGATGACTAAAGGAATCTCATCTGTATTTTATAAGAAGTTCGGTCGTTTGGACGAGTTAAAAAACCAGCAGCCTAAAGTTGGAAGAGTATTGAGATTAGAAGATGGTTCTCGATCTTTGCTGTATATGGTGACCAGGAAGTCGTATACAGTTAGGGCAACCTACGAGGATATATGGTGTGCTCTAACTAATTTGAAGAAAATCGTCTGCAATTACGACATTAAGAATATGGCCTTACCCAAGATAGGCCATGCACTAGATAATCTGGATTGGAAGATTGTCAGAAGCATGCTTGAAGTCAACTTCCGAGAAACCGGCGTACAAATTACTGTGTGTTGCACTAATCCGAAGAGATCGTGTCCTTCAAAGACAGTAGACTGTTATTTCTTTCTGAGGGGTTCATGCAGAGCTGGAGAGTCCTGTCGATTCCGCCATCCTGGGCCTACATATAGAGTCGCTGATCGGGACGCTCAGATCTAAGAGGGGAGCAGTGTTACGAACATGCTTTCGGCATGACTCATATAACGGTTGCATCTTGAAACGGCTTCGAGAATCATCACCAGATCTCTCGAAGGCAAGAGAACGTGCGCGAATTAGAGGTGGGAACTTTCTAGAACATAGTAACTTAGGTATATATATTGTAACGACCTTAGGAGTAAGTTCAGTTTATAAGATAGTATCGAACTGTAAAGTTATAAATAAATATATTTATATAAATTCGAACCGCTCGTTTTATTTAAACACGCTACAGTATCATCTACAAACAGATTCACAAAGTCACAATCAATGAATAAATTTAAATCATTTAAATAAAATGTAAAGAGAAGTTGACCGCTCGTGTTATTTAAACACGCTACAGTATCATCTGCAAAAAGATTCACAAAGTCACAATCAATGAATAAATTTAAATCATTTAAATAAAATGTAAAGAGAAGTGGACCAAACAGACTTCAGTGGGTTACACCAATATTACATTGTATTTCATCTGATATAACAACTTTTGTTCTGGCCCTTTATTTGTAATGGCAAATATCTCTGTCTTCAATCCTGAACCCCCGGAGGTAGTGGAGTGGTCATCGTGATGTCTTGTATTGTCTGCCTCCAAAGATCTCTGTCTCTGGACATTTCTTTTAACTCATGTATGTGTCGTTTGCATATGCTTGTAATTTGATCCATCAGAATAAGAAGAATATCACAGAAGAAATGAAATATTTACACATTGTCAATATTTAAAAAAAAGTTGGGATGATGATGGCCAATATTGAACAGAAACACATAAAAAGAATTTGAAAAGACTATGATATCAAAAAGTGAAGTCAAAGAATTTATTAAGATAGTATAATAGATATTTGCATTATTTAAAAGATACATATTCTTCAGATATATAATTTAAAAATTGTCACTCAAGTGTTTTAAAATGAATTACAAACATGAGATACAATAATTATGTGATAGGTACATGTAATTGCTGTTGCAGGTGACGATCTTTTTCTTAACATTTACTTAATATTTGAAAGGCAATTGAAATATACACAGATAATATATGCAATTAAAAAAAAATTATAAATACAAATGTCGTTTTCAAACCTTGTCAAATCTGTGATTGTAAATATATTCATTGAATTTTTTTAAATTCAAACTACACTTACCTTAATGGACCACATCACCCATAATTTAATGGTTTCCTCGATTATGAAATGGAAACAACACGAAAAATTTATGAAAGCCCAATTCAGGATGGATGGATAGGTAAAAGAAATAAAAATAATTGAACTGAAACAATTTGACATATAATAAACAATAATTTAGTTAATGGAATTATTAAAGATTGATTCAAAATGTACTGTTGGTATTTGACTGCCATCTATGAACAAATAGAAAAAGTTATAAAGTACTTCAACTAGAAAAATGCCTTAAAAAATTTGTATTGTAATTCTGTCTCAACAGATGACGCACTATATAATAATTATTTTAAATCCATTCAAAAATTAAAAATATTTTGTTTCTTGTTTAACATAGTTAAAGCGCTAATTGTTTAATTTTTTGAGAAACCTTTGGTAGCTTTTAACATAATTAATTTTTGTACGATATTAACTATTATAATGTGACAGTTTCTGTAACCTTTAAATTATCAGAAGGTCGCTAAATGTCAAGTTTATGTCAAAACAAAAGCAATTGTTTCACAACAAATATGAGTGACTAATCCAATATTTATTGAAATGATGCATTTGCCAATAAACTGCAAAGGATTTATTTCTGTTTCTTTCTATGCACTGTTAAAAATGCGATCACCATTGCATTGACGTAGAGAGTGACAGACAAAGGTTAGAGAAATTGTTTATAAAATACGATAAGGGGGTCATGTTTTGAGTCCCCTAATAAACAAGATTTTTTGGCAGCTAGTTTAGTTGGTTGTAGACAATCTTAGTGTTAACATCTCTGGTAAACAATGCTTTTTAAGCAGCTTTTGCTGCTTGTATTTTGCGCTCTAGGCGCACTTGGTCAAGTACTCATAGATAGTTATCCTCCTGTTCTTGACAACGCTGGAAATGGTGAAGATGAAACCTATGTAGCAGTAAGTTTATTTTTAGTTCTTTTACCGTTTTTTTATTTGCTGAACAATTTTGTCATTAATAAAAAAAAAATAATATTTTGGTGATAATATTATGTTGTAAATATTTACTTATATTCTCTATTATGTAATTTAAAACAAATATTTTTTTGCGCTATTAGTTTAGGAATTTATATTCAGTCCACATCTTATTAATTATTTAAATTGTAATATTCCTTTGATGGGGATCAAATATGGAATCCATTATCTCACCTCACTAAGGATGAATTGTCATCTCCTACTTGCCTGTTATATTTATCCTTAGTAAGAACTGTTCGTCCTGCTCATCAGCTCTGATATATTTTTTTATTTTTGCTTGGTTTTTTAATATCGCAAGATATTCATTTTTATATTTTCTAGAAATTACTTAATAATCATTTGATATTTCAACTTTGGCTTCAATGCTAAATATTTCCAATCTGGAAGTCAAAATAGAATTGTTAACTGTCAGAGATTATAATAATTAAACAGTTAAGTTCCACAAGAAAATACTTAGCTTCAGAACCAAAAATAATTCTAACCAAATAGTCACCATAAAACATGAGATCATCATCATCATTCGTGCTACAGCCCTATAAAAGAGCTTCGACCTTCCCAAGTCTGCGCCTATTGTTCTACTATTCTCATCTACACTATCCCTCCATCTGAGTTTTGGCCTACTTCTACTCCCCACAGGTTGTGACATAAGGATTCTTCTAGGAGGGTTATTCTGCTGTGATCTTGCTAGATGTCCTGCCCATCTTAGTCTTCCTATTTTTATAAGAGATAAAACATGAGATCTGTAAATATAATTTCAGATACCAGTTTTATCTGCTATTTTTCTTTAGCCAAGAATATTTTTTTCTGTTTTAAAATAAGATACTTTGGACAAACTTTTAGCAGACATTATGTAATGGTGACTAAACTTTGCCAAGCAAAATAAGAGACAAATTGTGGAAAATGACTATAATTGGGTTTTACATAGGAGAAGCCCAATAGAAACTTTGTGCTGTAGTGAAAGAAGAAATATTTTGTTGGAGGAGGTGATATTTAAGAGAAAGTACTAATATTTTTGATCTGATTGAAACAGATTAATTAATGACTTTTGCAAGAAAAGACAGCAAGGTGAACAGGATAAAAAACAGGCTCTTCAGGCATTTACCTACTGAATTTTCACCAACTGGATGAAAATTTCCAACTGTTAAAGGTAGTCATTTGATTATCACTTATTGGAAGAGTTAGAGGATTTGTTGATAAAGGTTTTTTAGAATTTGTTTCAAAATCTATGAAAGACTACCATGAAGAAATTAATCTATCCTAGTAAGTAAAATCATGTTCTCACCACTGAGGCATGCAATTCTGGCTTAAATGTCAGGAGTTTGTGCAAGATTGAGACAAGAAGATGTTGTGCTAAAAACTGAGATATTTCCAAGTGGATGATAATGTACCAGAATCATCCAAAAATGTTGAAAAAATCAGGCATGAGCCATCAAAAAATAATTATCAACTTTGGGAATACCATGTGTGTTGCAGTATTCTTAGGTCATAGTTTGACAAGCCCTCTTGAAACATTATTAACACAGCATTTAGGAATTCATCTCAATATCTTGTATAAATCTCAGAGACATCTCTACACTGTGACTTGAAAGATCTTTTGAGTATATCCTACATATATTTGTTAGTCCAAAAGATCTGGACAGCTAAGAAAGCTAATCTGTGTAGGAGATAGTTTTGTTCCCTGATCAGATATTTAAATCTGGGGATTGAGCCGGCCATCCTTCCATACCTTACCTACCTATCCATTGGATTGGATATAATGTATCTAAGTGATTACATACATTATTACTACAATGGGCAGGTGTATGATCATGCATAAACTATAGTGTTGTCTCAGCTGTAGAGGCATCTCTTGAAAAAGAATAATTAACTTTTCCTATAGAAAGCAAAGGTAAGATTTGCCTATTATCATTGCTGAAAATTGATGAAAATGAGCCTCAAAGATTCCAAGTTGATTTTACTCAGCTCATAATTGATTATTATGTATTTTGTATACAATGTCGTCTAAAAGTAGCCTCACCAGTAAATAAAAGGCCACATCAAACGTTGGGTTTTAGTGATTTGATGAAGAATCTCTTGGCAAAAACATAGGTGTGGAATAAGTCTCTAGGTATTAGAGCACACATTGGATATGAAATGAATACAGCTGAAGTTCTTTAAAAATTGTGAATACAGTGAAGTTGCTTACATTCAATATGTTAGCAATTTTTCGAGTACTTGCTTCAGGTGACTTCCCAATTAACTTACCTCTTTTAGTTGCATAGTTTGTTTTTCTCAAGGACGCTCATTTGCCGGAAATGTTGGTGAATATACTGAAGACAAGTAATATTGTGTGACAGGGTACCATACGTCCTGTATACAACTCAGCATACAACATAAACTTCTTACTAATTTAATTTTCAGTATAAAAGTAATATTGTTTCCACATAAGATTTTCTTAATCTTCATGTTTTAATTTCTTTGCTCATGTCCCAGTTATGATTTAAATTTAAATTTTAAATTACAGCCATGGTGATACTGTTGGTTCTCTCCAGTTATCTCTATAAACGGTTACATCTTGGCATTTTAGTGACAACTATCACCTTTTTAGCTTTTACTGATAACAGTTTACCAGTGGGTGAACAGGGGTTGAATAATAAGAAAAGAAGAAAGGTCTAATAAAAAATTAATTCCTTTAAAAGAAAGCTCAGTCAGATAGCTAAGTAGGGCAGTCGGTTGACTCGGATTTAGATTAAGTGATCTAGTGGAAGTGTGTTCGAACCCTGGTCAAGTGTACAGAAAAATAAAAAGCAAGCGCTAAGGACTTGCGGCTTGGTGATACTCCCCTATAGAACCCTAGCAGAAGGGCGTGACATTTAATATATCAGTGTATATATAAGAAAGCCCAAAGACTAGGAAATTTACTGCATAGATGAATTTTTAATCAACATTTAATGTTCACTAAAGTCTTCATAATTAAAAAAGCATATTAAGTATTCTTATCTGATTTATCTATTTTCCTTTACAACATTTACATTATATCTGATGTGTAATGACAATAAATGATCAATAATTATAATATCTGTTACATTACATTATTTAATGGCAATTGCACAATTAGTCTGATTAGATCTAAAATATCTAATATGGTTATAATTATATCAGTGATAAAATTTTATAGGTACATCCAGTAATGACCTGGTATTGTGGTTTAAATTTTTATTGTATACGTCACTTTCTTATTCTTTAGTTTAAATGTTTTGTTTAGGCTAAGGAATTTATTTAAGTCAATATAGTAAGTGTGGATTTAATTGAATTCCAACAATTTTGAATAATATTGAAATATGTATAAAAAATGATCTAATAGCCGGATGTAATAATTACACCTCATGACATCTCCAACTAATAACTTTTTTATAATAAATTTTTTACTATTAATATAAAGAAAGAATGAAATTCATAGCCAAAATACAAAAGATAAAAATGTTAATAAAAATGGACATTGTTTGAAAAAGAAGCTACAAATTTGACTAATTATAGTAACTAAATTGTAAAATGTTAGGTTTTCTACTATAATAGAAAAGGGAGTTTCTAAATATTTCTTATTTCTTCTGGTTCGTGTCTCTCGCGTATACGAACACTCTATCTGATCGTCGCTTCTAGGTCTTTGAATTATTTGACTATGGCCACTTATAGTAATAGTTTGCCTTATTCGCTGTGGTTTTTGCTTTGAAACTACTATGTGTTTTGTTTTACCATTTATATTTAGACCAGGTGCCACAGTGAAAAATGCTTAAAAACAATATTTATTCATACAAATGGTTAATAATACCAAGTAAGTTCCCATTCTTACAATTTTTTTTAAATATCAAGATCACTGGTGATTCTAATGGTACTGCATTAACATATTACACACGTATGTGCCAATAATATCACCGGTGATCGTGAACAACTTAATGCTTTTTAGTGAAACGTGTCACACAGTAAAATTTTCGCAAATTACAAAATGTAGTTTGGGTTTCTTTTGAGCTTCTTTACTGCCTTTTGTTGCAACTGTTTCAGTGTAACATTGGTTAGAATGTTTTCTCTTCTTCCTATTGTTTGTAGTTTTGGCGCCAACAGTAATAAGCATATACTTTTCAGTAATAATAGTGTTAAGTCTTCATTAATTCTAATGTATTGTTTTTATTCTTTATCAAAGGTTCTATATTTATAACACTTACAACTTAATTTAAAGTTTATTTATAATAATTTATCTTACAATAATAATTATTTTATACGGACGTTACATTTCAAACGCGGCGCGCTTTTCTTCTGACTGATTCCGCACAATGAAAGACCCGTTAATTATATGAAAACATCGGTTAAAATGGAACATCGTCGAAGGTTCGCTGGCCTTCTCGGCTACACAGAGCGGCGAATGGTCTCGAACTGGTTTTTGTACATCGGCCTATCTCCAGAAGGTTCGATTGTTGTTTTCATATCGGAGGGGGACCCATCGTGTGTCAGGTATGTATTACCTAGAAAATACATGAATGAATGAATGAATATTAGTAATAAATATGTTTACGATTTTGGGTCAGAATTTCTCGTAACAATAGGTTCAGGCATCGGACTGTAATTGACTAAACGAAAGATTAGCATTTCCCGAAATGAGATAACTTGCTGTTTTGGTGTGTATATAATATTAAACTATTGATGACTATGATTAAATATTATATATTATTATTTATAATATAAATAAATATTATTTATAAAATAAATAAAATATTGATAAATATAAATGGATAAGATCTGAACCACCCAAGATTTGCCGATGACATCGTTTTAATATCTGGTAGAGTTGATAAAGCTACAAAAATGCTGCACACGCTCTATAAAGTGTCAAAACCAATTGGTCTTAAAATTAACACCTCAAAGACAAAATCTATGACCAACCTTGTAGTCAC